CACTTTAAAAAAAACATAAAAAGAACATCCAAAAAAATTATCCATCTCATTTATTAATATTTGGAGCAATAATGAAAGAAACTAATGCAATGTTATTTTAGTGGAAAGAAAAACTTTTAAATTACTCAATTATATAAATATTTATAGTATATACACTAAAAATTGTAATAAATGAACAAATTAATTTTACAACAACAACAACAACAACAACAATAATAATAATAATAATAATAATAATAAGAAGAAGAAGAAGAAGAAAGTGGAAACAAAAATATATGGCCACTATAATAAATTATCAATTTTGTAATGAGATTTTTTCGTTCCTAAATTCATTTTTTCTGTTACTAATGATATTAAAGACGGAATTAAAGCTACGTGAACTTTAGGAATGAAATTCCGTTACAAATATACTATTTTTTTTGTAGTGGGCAAAAAATATTAGCCAAAGTTCAACATGGCATATATATTAACCTTGGTTATGCAGGCAAGTGTTTTTGCGTGTCTCAACCGCATCCCTCATCTTCATCCTTCTCTCTCTATATATAAAATGCACACATAGTCCCACCACCACTCGTACTCTTGATGAAGCTCCAGCAATGTTAGATTTTGAAGTCACCGGCGGCATTTCGATTTCTCTCTATGGTTGTTGCGCCACCCAAAGAAGATTGAATGTGAGCTCATTTGAATCTTTAATTTTCATGTTTGAGGATTTTTCTAATCTGAATTTCTTTGTCTAATTATTTTATCATCTTTTACGTAAATTTCCTTGTCTTTGGTGGTTGATCTGAGACATTGATTGTTGTATCCATCCCTGATCTTTGAGGCTATTGCCATTTTCAGCAGATCTGTTGCCATATTCTTCTACAGATTTTCACATGTTTTGGATTTGGAGATTTTTTCGTTTAGGTTGTTTATTTGAGGTCAAATTAGTTATTGGCAATCCATTCTTTTCTTCTTCATTTTCTTCTTTTCATTACTTAGGATGTTGTGAATGATGGATTAATTCTGATGTGTTTAGGGAAATTAAAATTCAACAAAAGGAGTATGTGCTTATATATATATATATATGTATACATATATATTCTTTGTTAATTTGGTGGAGTTTGTGTTTTATGTTGAAGAACTATGTGCATATATCTATAAGTTGGTTGAGTCGCAGGTTTTTTCAAATTGTGTGAGTCAAGTGCTATGGCCACGTGTTCGAATTAAATGTGTCCGGAGGAGCACGTGACCCACCCTTTAATATACATGAGACAAATAAGAATTTGGAGGAGGTGCTATTGTAGAAATAAGTCTCCACAAGTGACAAATCTCCGTCATTTTGGAGTTGAAGTATTCTTGAGTGTAATTTATTTAAAATTGTAAGAACTTGAAAACAACTTCAACGAGGTAAGTAATGAATTACTAATGTGTATGTCTTGCTTTCTCTCTTTAATGGGTTTTCTTTAATAAAAATATTAAAAATAACTAAGTCTTTGTTAAAAACCTTTTCAAGTTTTTCATAAGAAATAACTAAGTTAGTACTCGATCTGTGAATATTCATTATGTAAATTTAATATAATGCCCCCTTAAATTTAAAATTTAATATGACACTCTATAAAATTTAAAATATCTCCAAATATATAATATATTTAAAAGGATATTCACAACAACATGGTATAGACTTTGATGAAACTTTTTCTTCAGTTGCTCGCTTCGAAACTGTGACAATTATTTTGGCATTAGCTGCTCAATCAAATTTGCCAATTTATCAATTTGATGTGAGGTCGCCTTTTTTAAATGGTGCATTGGAAGAGGAAGTGTATGTTTCTCAACCTCCTGGATTTAATGTTGTTTGCAGTGATAATAAGGTTTATAGGTTACGAAAGCTCTTTATGGGTTGAAACAAGCTCCTCGGGCTTGGTACACTGAAATTGATTCATTTTTTCATAGAAATGGATTCTCAAGAAGTGAGAATGAGCCTGCTTTATATATAAAGAAGAAAGGTAATGAAGATTTCTTGTTGGTTTCTTTATAAGTTGATAATATGGTATATGTCTTACTTAATGATTTTAAGCATACCATGATGAGCAAATTCGAGATGATAGACCTTGGGTTGCTAAAATATTTTTTGGGAAAGGTTATTCAGAGTGAAGATGGAACTTTTGTGGATCACAAGAAGTATTATGCCGATCTTCTAAAGAGATTTAACATGGTGAATTGTGAAGTTGCAGCAACACCAATAAATATTAATGAGAAGTTACAGCATGAAGACGGGACTGAAAAGCAAATGCAACATTATTTCAAAGTTTGGTTGTTGGCTTGAATTATTTAACACACACTAGACCTGATATTTCTTTTTCGGTCAGTGTTGTGTCCAGATTTATGCCTCATTCTACGAAACAACATTTTGGGACTGCTAAGAGAATTCTTCGTTACATGGCTGGGACGTTGAACTTTGGCATTTAGTACAGTCAGGCAACAAATTTCAGACTTGTTGGCTTCACCGATAGTAATTGGGCTGCGTGCATTGATGATTGGAAAAGTGTATATGGTATCATATTTAATCTCGGTTCTGGAGCAGTAACATGGAGCTCTAAGAAACAAGACACAGTAGCTTTGTCATCGTGTGAAGCAGAATATTCAGTAGCAACTTCAGCAGCAAAACAAGCTTTGTGAATTCGGAAACTTCTTACAGATTTGGATCATGAGGGGAAGGAGGCGACACAAATTTTCTGTGACAACAAGGCAGCAATTTCAATTGCCCAAAAATCCAGCTTTTCATGGGAGGACAAAACATATTGACGTGCAGCATTACTTCATTCGAGAACCCATAGCAAATGGAACAATTTCAGTGACGTTTTGTGGAACCAACAAGCAAGTAGCAGATATCTTCACCAAATCACTTCCTTAAGCCAAATATGATTAGTTCAGGATGAGTATGAGAGTGACAAGCTTTGAAGCAAGGGGAGTGTTAATTAACTACTTCAAATTATTATTGTTATTAAATAAATAATATGTGCATATTATTACGGGTTTCAACCATTGTTTTAAAATTTCAATTTATAATAATTAGTAATTATTGTATTATATTTAATCGCAGAAATAAGAAATTCTTCTTTGTTCTTGTTCCTATTTCTTTGTTGTGCATTTCTTTTCTTGTTCTGCTAACAGCAGAGTCAGTGTTTGATGGGGCTTAAGGGTTTAGGGGCTGAGGTAGGTGTGGTTTGGGGGCCTAGGCTGACCTAGGCCGGAGACTCACACTGCTTTGAGCTAACCGGGATAGTGCCATGGCGTCATTTAGGCGACTATGGTGAGGCGATGTGTCCCAGCGCTTCCCAAAAAGCGCCAGAACCCCATGGCGACCTGATGACAACACTGATGACTACCATTAATTTCTTGAACTATTTGATTATGAATGTTTAATGATCTCAACCTCATTGTTATGCACGAAAATTGCCAATTAAAGTTCAATGTAAAAACGAAATCAGTAGCATTGTGGAATGTTTACTTAATTCAAATCCTTGCAGAGGACCAGAAATCTGTCTCCATTCTCTTGACAAAACAAAATCAAATGGAATGGTGGAAATATTTTGTTGAGCGTGAGCCGGAGGTTGACACACAGAAAGTGGAGTTTGAAATCAGTAAGTTGTCTGCTCTGGACCCATTAACACGGACCACTGTGGCAAAAAATGAAGGTAACCTTTGATAATCCCATTAGATATCTAATTCATTCGCTCTAATGGGCATATGTTTGAGTAATCTATAAGTTTAATTTTAGGATGCCTTTATATCCATGTTTTCTATCACCTTTAATTATTTCCAGTATTTTTTATTTTTTATTTTGTGTACTATTGATGTCTACCTGCACTGAAATAGATCGACGAGAAAGAGTTCGATTGGTCAAGTTCTTCGGTGTGAATCCATCGGATGCAGAAGATGTCACTAGAAAGTGGTAAAGGAGGTTGGCGCTTGTGCTGCATCCAGATAAAAATAGCTCCGTTGTCACCAAAGGTCCCTTACAGTTAATTCAAGCTGCTTGGGGCTTGTTCTCCAACAAGGCGAAAAGGATTGAGTATGACCTGAAAATGGGCATTGTAGAAATTCAAGTCTGAATAAAATGGGCATTGTAGAAATTCAAGAAATTAGAGTAGCATATTATTAAATTAATCTTTAAAATAATATCAACTATATGCAAAGATAATTATTTCAAAAAACATCATGGCGTTTATAATGATTCATTATTATGATTGACTTGTCTTGAATACATGCCAACACTAGTCAATCTTCAAGATAACAAAAAAAAAAAAAAAAAAAAAAGAGTTAAACTATGTTAATTAAAACATGATTAAAACAAGTCGAGTAGACGTGAAAACTTAATGCAAAAAGTAAATCGAATAATGGCGAGGACATATCTCACGAAGCTTTACATCATTATAGCAACCATCTCAATTAGTTAGACGATGAGATAGTTAAAGTGTCACCATAAAAGCTAAACAATTATAAAATACATGGTGATAAATTTTGACTCAAGCATTTATATACATATATATAATTTGAGCACACAACTAAAATAATAAAAATTAAAGAGTAAAAAGATTATCTATGGACCTTGAACATAGTGGATCAAATAATTAAAAGATTCTTTAATTTGATTGCATGGTTATAACAGTCACATGACAGACACTTTTGGAAATATTCATTAATATTTTCAAACACTTCATATAAATACACTCCGGACTCACAAAATATCACATCAAATATAACTTATTACTAATTCCAATTTTTTTTTAAATTCCAAAACTCCCAATCTAAATGAAGATGAAAGGATTGGGATGCAGTATGGTGTATCAATATTTTCTGCTAGATACCCATTCTTACATACGAAACAATGATAGTTTGATTCATATGTTTGATATCGTGCCCACTGTAGGTGTTGCAGTGTGGGCATAACAACCATAAAAAATCTCTACTTCTGCCCGATGGGCAGCTTGTACTTGCACCGGGGTGGATTAATGTGAACAGGGGGAGATATTGGGTATACCAAAAGAGTAGCTGTCCTAGCCAATATGAGTCCCTATATGTCTTGCGGTATTTATGGACACCTGAACCCAATTTCTCAGCATACTTTGGGTTGAGGTCTAGTGGAGCAATGTAAATGGGGGCAAAAATTACCTTCTTGTATTCCTGAAAAAGGATGCGAGTCAAAGAATTAATTACTCGCGCATTAGTCAAGTTCAACAAATCAGCATTTTGGCGTGGCGAGTTTGGAAAAACTACAACTCACCCTTAGTCTGAGAAAACACTTTGTATGAGCATATATGTGTATCATGCCGACTTCTATATGTAGAATGTAGGTTCCGCATCTCATCCTTTAACCTGAAATTTATTGAAGAGACTTACATTATAAGGATTTATAGTAAGATGGCATTATGGAGTTCAGTTAACGGTAATTACCATATTAAATACCCCCGGAGCTTCGTCTGAGGGTAATCAGGACCAAATGAACCATGGGCATGAATCTTTATCTTGAGATCCTTCAATATATTATCTTTCATGTGATGCGCCATGCATTGAATAAGTTCCTCAATGAATGATCCTTCTCCTTCCGGGCTAACTCTTTCCAGTAGAGGAGGGGCTTCTTTCGGGTCACCAAAATACTTCACCTGGATCAATATTTGAAATAAACATGTACAGCACCGTCTTATTCGATCTAATATCATGGTGTGAATAATAAATCTATTAGCCGTGAACGTACCCATGAAATCATAAAATGCTGATTCTCTCGTGTTTTGCGATTGACATGAAATTGTACAATGCCCCTTTTCGAGTCATACTTAAGCCTCTTTCGCCTTGTCGGAGATCAAGTCCCAACCAACAGATCTGTTTTTATCTGCATCAGATAGCTTCACGCCAAGAACCTTTTACCAATCAACCTCTTCTTCATTGACCTTCTGTACAGACTGATAGACATCAAATGTAGACAAAAGTTGGGTGATGTCATCTAACGCTGGATATACTGCCTTTGCTTGCAAAGCCAACTTCTTTGCCTCGACAACATAATTAACTTGACCCAACATTTCCTCAGCTCCAACTTTGGCCTTCACAGATCATCTTCATGCTGTTCCATCTTAGAGTAGACTTCACGGAATATCTCCTTCACACTGGTCATAACACAAAATTTTAGGATTCTTACAACCAAGAACGTCAAAATCAATTCATAGTCTAAAATATGATAATATCACATGCAGTATGGAAGCTTAAAAATTATATAAAAATACTAAATTAATAACAGTCACCGAAAAAAGGTAAATGAAATAGTTAACTTTTCTTAAAAACTTTTTTGAGTTGACCACATAATTGTAACTTGAACTATTTAATGATACTTGTAATTGTAAAACAATGAAAACAACAATCCCCTCAAGTGGGAAAAGAGACAGCTCAACCAATAACATCTTATTTGATTTGAACACGTGGCAATATCGGTCGACTCAGACACTACGACCCAACAAACTTATTGATATATACACAATTATCTAATATAAATCACAAACTCTACTGAGATATCATCTTGTTGTTGGGTTGTAATTTCTCTGGACACATCAAAATCAATTTATCCTTCACAACATTGCGAATAACAAAGATAGAAAAGAAAAAACAAAGCATGGATTCACAAAAGTTTGATAAAATGATAAATTTCACCTCATACTAAACAACCCTAACTCAAAATCTTTCAAATCCAAATCAAATGAATTTCTGCAGAAAACTGGTCACAACCTCGAAGATTAGAAATGGATCTGCACGAGAGAACAACCAATTTCCCATATCAACAAAAACAACAACCAAAGATGACGAAATTCTTTAATATGTGATCTCCCCTTGGCTTACAAGGGTGAACGACCACTTTACCTATCACCAATTGGTTTCAAATTGGAAGCCCGGATGCCTTCTTCACAGAAATCAACATAAACGTTGATAAATTAGACAAGGTCATTCACATTAGCAAAAACCTCTAAAAGGGAAAAAAAATCTGAAGTTGAGATAGAAGATCGAGATGACGATGGTTCTGCAATAGCAAGCGACAAGAGCTAGCGTGAGTGGTTATGCGAATCTGCATGGATGCTTTCTATATATATATAGAGGAAGATGAAGATAAGGGGAGGCGGGAGACAGACAGACAAAAATACTACTGGCTTAACCATGGTGAATGCGATAGGATTAAACTTAACCATAGTTAATACTTGCCATGGTTTATTTAAGGAAAATTTTAATAAATGAGATGGATAAATTTTTTTTATAAAAAAGAAAAAGTGCATATAGATATTGAGGTATTTTAATATATGATAAATCTAACATATTGAAAAGAGTAAATATGAAAATTTTATTTAATTGCCATGATTTTACAAAGTAATACTCTCTTCTTCCAGTAAATTTAGTATTTTTGGCTTTGGCATCAATATTGCGAAAAAAAGGATATTTTATTGAATATTAAAAATAAAAGTATAGTTTGAGATATTTTAGGAAATTTAGATAAAAATAAAAGAAAATGAAGAAAAAAAAGGATATAAAGGCAGTCAGATTTGTTTTATATAAATATTGAATGGAGACAGATAGTTAAATGTTGATTTATTTACTTTTCTAAAATTAGTATTTGGATAAAAGTCCCAACCGACAAAAAAAATTTGTAAAAGTAAATTGACATTCATAGGAGTTACTTAAAATTTATCACAAAAATAGAAAAATGAATTATACGAAGGAATTTTCAAATTACATTATTTTAATTTAATTTTTTCATAATTCTATAAAATTGAAAAGAAGAAATATGGAACTTCAATTTCAATGGATTGCCATTATTTTTCAAATTAAAATTTTAAACTCACAAAATAAAAAAATGTCATTATTATACAAAATTATATTCCTCCGTCCCTTGATAATCTATTTATTTTTTTATTTTGGTCAGTCTCGTACTATCTACTTAACATTACAAATATTGTTTCAATTTATATTATGTTTCACAAATGTCAATACTTTTATATCGTACCATAATAAAAAAAAAATTAATTTAGTCTTTTTACGTTTATTTCTACAACATTCCAATATAATATATGTTTTGAGATACATATGGGACGACGGAGTATGTAAAATTGATAACAAAAATAAAAAAGTGCATTATATGTTTTGAGATACATTAAAATCTATAAGATTTTAAATTCAAGTTTCTATAATTCTATAAGGTTGAAAAGACGAAATATGAAAACTTTAATTATTGTCATTATTTTCCAAACTAAAATTTTGAACTGACGACAAGAATAGAAAAATATATTTTATGCTTTGAAATCTTTTAAAATTTACCAAATTTTGAATTATTTTTTTTATAATTATGTGACATTGAAAAGAGAAAATATAGAAACTTCAATAAATTGCCATTATTTTCCAAAGTTAAATTTAAAATTGCTTTCAAAAATAGAAAAAATGTATTATATGTTTTGAAATATTTTATAATTACAGGATTTTAATTCAAACTTAAAATTGGAAGACTATGCCAAAATTATTGGAAGCCTAATGTACTTAACAAATTATACAAGGCCGTTTGCCATGTAAACAAGCTAAGTCGATATACTAGCAACCCCAGTCATGAACACTGGAAAACGCTAATAAGAGTATTAAGTTATCTTAAATTTAATCTGAATTTTGGCTACACTACGCGAAATATCCACCGGTACTTGAAGGGTACTGCGATCACTACAAAAAAAAATATATTTGTAACGGAATTCCGTCCCTAAAATCACGTAGCTAACGTAATTCCATTCCTAATTCCGTCTCTAATATCATTAGTAATGGAAAAAGTAGATTTAGAGACAATAACATTTTGTTACAAAAATGATTTTTTCTTGTAGTGGATTCCAATTGGATATCCGATACAAAATACTCATTGTCTACAAGTGGATATGTATTTACGATTGGAGGAGGAGCCGTTTCGTAGAAATCCACAAAAAAGACATGCATTGCACGGTCGACAATGGAATCGGAGTTCATCACCTTGGACAAAGCTGGCGAAGAAGCCGAATGGCTGAGGAACTTTTTGGATGATATTCCATATTGGACAAAACCAGTACCTTCAATAATGATTCACTCCGGTAGCCAAGCTACAATAGCAAGGGCTAAGAATGGAATTTACAACAGTAAATCTCGACATATCTGACGTAGATATAATACTGTACGGCATTTGATCACCAGTGAGGTTTTGACTATTGAATATGTACAATCAATAGAAAACCTAGTAGATCCGCTAACCAAAGTGTTGCAGAAATATCAAATGTACAAACTGCTAAAGGGAATGTGTTTGAAATCCACAAGATAGAGACAATTACAGTGGTAACCCAACCAAATCACTTGGTAATCCCAAACCTTGATTCAATGGGAAAACTAAGCTATGAGAGTCCGGCACGAACACTCAATTACAATTCCCTGAAAAGCAATAAGTGTTATAATGTGCAAAAGTGGTAAGGTTGAGTAATGACTCTTAATGATCCTGAAGGTGTGAGTTAGATACCTTGAGATAGGATTACCTATATAAGTGTGAAATGTGTGCCGCTTCAAACGAAATACTTATGAATCCAAAGATGAGATCCATGGCCGAAATGGATCAAAACGTGAGATCAAAGTTGAGACTGAGATAGCGACGCATCAATATTATTGACTAAGTGCACGCAGAGGTGGAAGAGTTCAATGCATCACGTCAACTGGGCCACCAGTACACTCTCTAATGTTGACAATGGAAAGTTCAAAACAAAAACTACATGCCCTGATGTGTTAATGTCTCACAAGGATTAAGCTGGTTTTCTGTCCTTTATGGGCATTTCCACTCATATGGAGGATTGTTGGATAATCGGTTATTTTGCAATCGATTATTTTGTGAGTGAAAATGCGACAGGTCGATGTTCCAAATTAATTAGATTAATTTGGAAGAAATAAATAAATATTATTTATTTATTGTAAATGGGGTTTTTAGTTAATATTTTGGCTATTTTTTTGTCTCGAGACAAACCAAATTGTGCAACCCCAAATTACATCCGGGTATATGGCCTAAGTCGCAGTATTATTTGGATAAAATATTATCCGTTGGATAGATTTATTATAATTTCAATGGAAGCTTTGAAATTAGAATAAATTACAATCGTTTCAAATGGAAGGTTTGAAATTAGAATAAATTACGATCGTCACAAACGGAAAGTTTGTAATTAGAATCAATTGCGACTGTTTCAAACAGAAGGTTTGAATTTAGAACAAGTTACATCGATAATTAAGGTCGTAATTATGATCGTAATTGATCCCCTGTCATTTTGGCCGAGTGAAGACGCCTATATAAAGGGTCTTCCCCTTTCATTCAAAAAACCAACACCAACAATTCTCTCCTTCTTCTCTCATCTCTTCTAGCTTTCCGGCAACCTCCCAAGCTCAGTTTTTCTCTCGTTTTTGTTCGCCGGAGCTCCAACGATTAGAGGTGCCATTTCATTGGAGACGGAAACCTTTTTATCTTTGGGTTAGAATACCAGCCACCGGAGGCACTACTGGGGTGTATCTAATTATTGGAAAGAGGATCTATCATCGACTTGGTTTCACGGTAGAGTTTATTCTCGCAATACCTATGTATTCCAACATCCAACACTGCCTTGTTGACTATCCGTTGAGCTTAGTCATCTTTATGAATAATCCAACATTGTTCAAGCTAATACAACAATTTTCAGTTTATTTGAGCTATCATGGGACTAAAACTGATTAATTTTAGTATGGATGAGTCCATAATTAATAAGAAAATTTGAATAAGACCAAAATTGATAA